CAATTTGTATAGCATTAGACACATAGATGAACATATTGTTTTTATATCGACAAACTGATTGTCTTTTTGGTCAGTCAATCTAACTTGCCTATTTTGGTACTCAAAATTGGTGTTTTCAATCCTCTTAGTTAAAAGCCACCCCCCGTATTTTCGCCCCTGTAAGATTGAAATTCTGGCTACGTCCCTGACTGGACTTGTATAAGGAAAAAAGACGCTTTTTTTAAAAAGATATTTGAATAATATGGTCGTTTGCCATCTGGGCACTTTCACTATTTTGCCCAATGATTATTCCAAGCCAAGTGAATATTCATGCCCAATGGTGGTGTCGCGTGGATGGTTTTGATGCTGCTAGTGGTGAATGATGAGCGGACGGAGTCGAGAAGGGGTGGTTTTTTGTGGTGTCTAGTTTTGAAAAAGTTGCGTTGTAAAATGATTAACATGAGTTACAATCATCGTAAGAAATTATGTAAACTATAATTTGCCGTGTTTTCTGTCAAAGACAAATTGACTTACAAGAGGTGTCAAGCAAACCGGCCTAGTTGCATCTATTGGACAACAAACATACAAAACTCAATTACGTGAAAAATATAATGTAAAAGATCCTACATTAAAGCTTGTTCGTAGCCATTCGCACAAGGAAGATTAGTTTTCCAAACACCTACGATTTTAGAATGAAAGCCGCTTTGGATATGATTAAACAAGAAAAGTAAGTATAAATTTATCCATTACTGTCTAGTACTGCGTGCTACACATAGCATTACAGTGGCCACTGCAAGAGCACTTTCATTGGGCACCTATTTGTCCACACATTTACAAACTCGCTTTGATTTTCAAATCATAGAATTTGAGGCGTAGATTAAACAGTTAAGAACACTTTCACCATCAATGAAACCAAACTAGAACAATTGTATCAACAATTTACTAATATTAAGACAAAGCTAACAGAATTCTAAGAGGTTAATTCTGCAGTACCCCTACATTCCTAGCTTATTCACAATCATTGTTTCTATTTACAGAATAAACATAGAAATATAAACACGGAATGCAACTGTAGAATGATCACATGAATCATAAATTAAGAGATTGCGCATAGAAGAGCGACACTTTATCTAGACGTTAACTGAGATCAATCTCGACCAATTCAGGGTTTGCCCTCTCAGTTTGGTTGTCAACAAGCTCGACACCTAGCTGTCCTTGGTCACCGGCACCAAATGCATATAGCTTACCAGATTCTGTGAGTGCAAAAGTATGTGCATTCCAGTATATGGAATTTGTGAGGCTTATCTGCACAACCCTTTCCTTTACCTGCTTTAGTGATGTTACAAGCTTGGGGCTTAAGACATTCGCTTGCCGATTTTCCTGAAAACATTAATCACACGATTATAAGAAATCTTATTCCCTTGTAAGATTATGAAAAAATCTAATATAGGAGGAAATATTAAGTCGAACTGTGGTTCGAGGGATAAATGTACAGTGTAATTAGGCTCAACAGATCCATCAAGCCAAACATGGACATGCTTTGCTACAAAGCAGACTTCACAAGAAAATCTCGACTTGATCTAGAAGCTTATGGTGTTAGCTAGGGCCACGTGTATATCATTTTAAAAGTTATATTCAACATGATCCCTCACGTGTAGGCAACTAGGAGGGATTTATTTTTTCCCATCAAAGCCTAACAAGTGCACAATTTCATTTAAATGGGTGGTGTCATGGTGATGAGACCTGAACCTGGGACCTTTAATAAATATTAGCAAGTAACTATGAATATGAAAATGTAATAGTAGTACATACTTGCAAAATAACAATAATAAATATCCCAGAAACGGGTTAGGATATTTGTTAAGATAAAACAAGAGAACCAGGGGAATGGAGATGAACCTGTCCATCAGCAGCTGCAATATTATGTCCAAGACTAGACGATTCTCCACACCCGAATGAGTAAACATCACCATCATCTGAAACAACAAAGGTCGTATAATCCCCTGTAGCGACGTGCACAGCTTTAATATTGTTCAGTGCTTCGACCACCTTAGGAATTGATTCACAATCTTCATTCCCATGGCCCAAGCACCCATAACGTCCCCAACCCCATGTACAAACGCGTCCATCTCTTCCGACTACTGCAGCATGCCACGCACCAGCAGCAACCTCTACGGGTTGAAGATTCAAATTTTGAAACTGTTCTATTAATCTCGGCTGCTTCTCATCACTTCTTGTACCGTGCCCGAGCTTTCCACCTAATCCACAACCAACGGAATATACTGACCTGATATGTCACCAAAAGTTTCTGGGTAATTTTCAACGAGATGATTCGTCCATACATAAATGATCACATAGATGACTCCATATTACTGAGAATAAGACTTAACAAGTTGGAAGTGTATAAAAGAATCATTTGACAATTGAGTCTAGCCCATTTCAAAAAGCAGTGGATCTTGGCAACAATACATTCAAAGTCACAAGGCGTAACAGATTAAAAATATCAAGGAAATTTCAATTATTAACAGCATTTGCATATTCTCAATAAATATTCGGTTCGTACTAAAAATGATGTATCGATCTAAATAAAAGAGAGGGGGAGCTCACATGCCACTGGGTTGACAAGCCAAAGCAAGAAGGTAGCAGTATCCAGCAGCAATTTGAACCACTGGTGTGTTTTCAAGCGCGCCTAACAATGGACGGGGCTCGAGATCACTTGGCTCCGTTTGATGGCCAAGTTTACTGTCATTTCCCCAAGAAAAAGTGTAAACCACGCCTTCTCTGGATAATATTGCAGTGAAGAAATTTCCAATAGCAGCTTGCACGACGAAGATGTCTTTCAAAGATTCAACTAGTTGAGGTGTAGTTATTACTTTATTTCCCTGAGCTCCATACTCAGCTTCACCAAAGGAGTCTTTTCCAAAGGAATAAACCTGTCCGGTATCACTTATCAGCATTGTCCGATTATTCCCAGCAGTTGCTTGAATAATTCGAATTCCTTGCAGAGATCTGCAGCATAAAAAAATTCGTTAATTATCTCTACTAAGCCACCTCTCCATTTTCAGGCTTCTATAGTAATAGAAATCAAAAACCTAATGAGGCGAGGTCGTGATTCTTCGTCTGTTGTTCCATGCCCAAGCTGTCCTGAGCTGTTCGACCCAAATGAGTATATGGCTCCTTTTGAAGTCACAACAATACTGTGTCCCGGCCCAGCTATTGCCTGCGACTTCTCAATCCTGGAACATGCTTCTCCAGCCAACAAGAACCTTAAGACTAGCTTCCAGGAACCCCCACATCTTTGCATCAATTCTAGCCGTTGTTCATCTGTCATTGGCTTAAATACAGCTCTCTTCTGACACATATCAAGAGCCGCAAGTTCTGATAACGAGAGCATATAATTGGGGGCAAAGTGCGCAGGCTGCCTGAAGAACGAACATGTTACCTGCAATATACCATCATGATTCAATCAACAGCAGCACTGTTTCAATTGTTAATTAAGAGCTACATTGTACCAATGGTAAGATTAAATAAACTTGCCTCTAGTTTTGCAAGATCTTGTGGATCCAAATTACATCCCGTAAGAACATGAAGGACAATGGAAGGATTGGCAGACAACGGGAATTCCCCAGGGCTTTCATTTCCAAAACAATGACGTTGTTGCCTTGGAAATGTTGCCATGGGAGAGGTGACAAGTGAAGCTATTGTTTCCTCGGGAATGTTATGGTATTGAATGCTTGAAGTTCCACTGGTAGTAGCATCCATAGGCACCACTTAATTCTGCAGTGCCCAAACTAAGCAGAAGTGAAGATCCAATCCACTGAAAAGCATAAAAACGAATACATATTATCACATTGTCTCTTCACAAAAAAAAAAAAAACTAATTACATAATAGTTCAACAAGTATTATAATTAATGTATGCTGCGGTGCAACTCTGTACCTTAAATTATTAGCTGAGTATACAACTCTAAGCATCAATCCTGCAAGCATCCACATGACCAACATCAACACATGAGCCTTGTTAAGAACATCAATAATTAAACTAAGTTATGCAAGAAAGTAAAAACGATCATCAATATCGCGATTATCTTTTGCTGAACATAATATATACAGTAGCCAAATTGCCTCACTA